ATTCCTCTATAGTTGGCACATATCTTCTTGTCTCCCTTTTTGTGCACGGGACACAGTATGCTGAGGTTCCAATCATTGCATGCATTCCTCTAGCCAAATTGTACTAATCAACTGGTGCTTGCTCCTTACCAGCATCTGACCACTGGTCTGTAATAGTTTGGCTGGTAATCCATCGGCAACTACTGCTTTATTGTTCTTCAGCCGATTATTTCCAACTCTGGCTGCATGTTGGCTAGGTAGTATACAGTATATACCCTCATATATTATTGGAGGATACCCCACTTCACCGCAACTATTTGATACCAGAAGTTTTTCAAAATGCTCCTTCCAGACCCTCAGCACGCTGTCTGTGTCTGTCACTTGGTTTCCTTCTTGATCTCTACAAGGGGATGTGCCTGCACCAAAGCCTTCGGTTTGGTGTTTTACTCGTTAGTACAATTTCCGGTTCATTCTGACTACTATACATCTCGATTTGCTGCCGTTTTCTTGTTCTTCTTTAAAAAAAAACAGTTTCTCATTTTTCCGGATAATTCTCTCTCGCATTTCTCTCTCAGGTTTGCCCTATATCATTACGTATCATTACGGCATCGTACCATGGGTTCTTTGATGGTGGTCTTTGCTACCCAATTGTTGTTTTTGGTGCAGTTTGTAGGGAGTGAGCAATTCTTTGCATTGTGCTTTCGTCAAGCAGGTGGGTAAGTTGAATGGAGTAGGTTTCTGCTATCTGTTGTGTGTGCAGTTTTTCGACGTCGAGTTTGCAAACCTTCGCTCCTCGGATCGACTGAAGGTCTAAAACACTGGATTAATGCATTTATTTTATGCCAACATGATAAATTTGATTTATCGTTGCTTGATCAGGAGAAATCCAGGTGGCCTTGTGTATATCGAGATGCTTGAATATGGTGCTGCTAACTACCATGTTTTTTGCTGCCGCGAAGTCGATGCCGTTGTCGAATGTTTCTTCATGGAGGCTAAATTTTCCGACGATGGGACCAAAAATATTTTATCTTGCGATTTGTGCATTAAATGGTCTGTTCCAGTACTTTTTTATAGGAAAGCTAGTAAAAGGGAAACATTTCAATATCGCTCTCAGAGTACAAAATAATTTGAAAAGTTCGGGAACGAAAATATAGTAAATATGCCAAAATTTTATGGCAATACTTCAAAATCAACATAACAGCCAATCAGATGTTGGCATTACTGTTTACCATTTTTACTCGGCCAAATTTTTCGAGTAAAAAGTTTACAAAGAGAACGCCATTTTGTTTTGTGTTCTCTTAAATTTAATTCAATATTTTACCAATTTTGTGGGTTGAGGAACGGTTTTCGATTAAAAAGATGCAAAACTTGTAAAAATTTTAGATTCTTTTAGGTTCTGGAAAGGAACTAAAATCTACCAGCAGAATTTTAATGTCATGGTCAGGGCAGTGGTAGTATGCTTTTTCTAGGCGCTTTGTACTTCTTGAGTACATACGCCAAAGCAAATACTGCGCCTGTTCTGTACAACGTGTGCACATTCCAAGTGGAAGAGGGACCAAAATAAACCTGGGCTTCGCCATGTTAAAGCCAGTCAGAGCCGTTGCTTGGTATCTATCATCTTATACGTCGCCCAAAATTGTCTCATATTATTACTGTTCGTTCTCTTCTAGTACGAGATTCCAAACACCCAGCCTTATCCGACACCTTTAGACTAAGAGTGACTCTCGCCCCAAATTTCAACCGTTTTGTCTGGGCATTGATGAATCGTTAAGCCAATCAGTCAGTTAGTAAGGTTTTAGTTGTATTTGTTAAAAGTAAGAGCTGTCATTCCGTATTTTTGGAGAGCGAAGTAAATGTCCCGTCCAATTTTGACCACCTAACGGACAACACTAGCCATTTAATTTATTTTGAATACGCACCTCATGGTATCTTATACGATGGTTCCAGACGAATTTAACGACTTCTTATAGTTTTAATTTTTTTTAATTGGAATTAAAAATGGATCTGTTCCAGAATCTGCAAGAATGTTCTATTAAACGTTTTTTTTTTCAATTGTTTTTCAATTGCCTCCTCTTTTATAAAATATATCAAAAGGTGATCAATCTTTTATTACTTTTTGATTAGAGAAATGTATGAAACTGTTTTCAATTCCCCCCTTTATAACAGTACGTTTAAATTTAACCGGATTTCTTTAACCCAGTGGGTTTCAATTGTCAATTCCTTTGCATATATGTCAAATAAATCCTCATAAAGTAGGTTAATCCAGTAAAAAGTTCTAAAGTAAATACCGTTTAAAATTGATTAGTACAAAAATAAAATAAATACAATTTTTATGTACGGGAACATAAATTATTCATAACTTTTTCAATTACCATATGTCTCAATTTAGATTAGGCGAGTTTACTTGCGGCAAGTCTTTGTTTGTTGGAGAGAGGGGCAAGGGGTATAGAAATGAAAAAAATTGCTCGTACCGACAATTTTCTGGGAATTCGTTTTGCGTATTTCGTATTTGTTGACATTTTATATATATTTAAATGTGAAAAAAAACAACAAATAAAAAAATATTTTGGAAACCGAATTGCCTTGTATAGACGCATGGAGCAAGTTCAAAAGAGAACGATAAAAATTGCCGCAAGTAAACTCGCCTAATATATAGCATTTCCACATTAAATGAAACCTTTTACAAATTAAATGAACCCTTTTCCAAATTAAATGAACCCTTTTCCAAATTAAATGAAACCTTTTCCAAATGAAATGAAACCTTTTCCACTTGAAGTGAAACCTTTTACAGATAGAATGAAACCTTTTCCAATTGAAATGAAACCTTTTACAAATAGAATGAAACTTTTTCCAAATTAAATGAAACCTTTATTCTTATCTAAGGAAATATAATATTTGCAGTAATTTTAAACCAATATTTGAAAATTAAATCAAAGAATATTGACAAATATAGTTGTATGGCTATGTAATTAACATAAATATTCTTTAATTCGATGTGATTTCATTTAATATCTGTACTACATAAAACTAAATAAATAGTAATACAAACTGGGGTATTTCTTGACATTTTAATAAATAAATATTTAAGAACAAGAATTGAATACCCGGTCCTAAATGCGAAATACAAATTTGACTTAATAAATTGTTGATGATAAGGTAACTGCTTATCTTAATGAAGGGGTTCCCGACTTGCAGCTTGTGGGATTTTCAAAACCATGTCCATAACGTAGTTAGAACAATCTTGCCGAGTAAGCTTTTGAATACTTCGCTCGATTACATCAACAATGTTATGTTCCATTGAAACGTCACACATAATTTTATTTTTGGAACATTAAAGGAAAATAAGCGTGGAGGAAATAGAACTAAGTTGTTGACACCACAAGTTTTAAGTCTGATCGAGTTCTATATAGAAAGTCAACCTGGAATTACCCTCAAAGCCATAAAAACTAAACTGTTGAGAGAAAATGATATAAATATTTCCACAAGCTGCATAGAATATGGATTACGGAAATTAAAAATTACGTTTAATATGGCCTCTATTGAAACAGAACGAAAGAATGACTCCAGAACATTAGGCTTGAGACAAAAATATGCTCAAGACTTTACAAAATGGATACCCCAACAAGGAGAAAAATTTATATTCATTGATGAGTGTGGATTTAATCTTCACATACGAAGAACCCAAGCCCGTTCAAGACAAGGAACAAGAGCACACATTGTGTTGCCTACGGTCAGAGGTCGTAATGTCACCATAATTGCAGCAATAAACAACGCGGGAGTTGTACATCACACAATCGTTTCTAATTCCAGTGTCAATGCAGACAGATTTAAATTATTTATAGAAATTTTTTTTTTTTTTTTTTTTTGAGAAAATCAGTCCAGAGTTGGAAAATAACGCTCAAATACACAAGCGACATGACATAAAAAATTTGATCGAATCCAAAAGATGCAACCTTAAATTCTTACCGCCTTATTTCCAATGCTAAATCCAATCGAAAATGCATTTTCAAAAATAAAATTATGTCCAAGAGCTGAGCTGTGTGACGTTTCAATGGAACATAACATTGTTGATGTAATCGAGCGAAGTATTCAAAAGCTTACTCGGCAAGATTGTTCTAACTACGTTATGGACATGGTTTTGAAAATCCCACAAGCTGCAAGTCGGGAACCCCTTCATTAAGATAAGCAGTTACCTTATCATCAACAATTTATTAAGTCAAATATGTATTTCGCATTTAGGACCGGGTATTCAATTCTTGTTCTTAAATATTTATTTATTAAAATGTCAAGAAATACCCCAGTTTGTATTACTATTTATTTAGTTTTATGTAGTACAGATATTAAATGAAATCACACCGAATTAAAGAATATTTATGTTAATTACATAGCCATACAACTATATTTGTTAATATTCTTTGATTTAATTTTCAAATATTGGTTTAATATTAGTGCAAATATTATATTTCCTTAGGTAAGAATAAAGGTTTCATTTAATTTGGAAAAAGTTTCATTCTATTTGTAAAAGGTTTCATTTCAATTGGAAAAGGTTTCATTCTATTTGTAAAAGGTTTCATTTCAAGTGGAAAAGGTTTCATTTAATTTGGAAAAGGTTTCATTTAATTTGGAAAAGGTTTCATTTAATTTGGAAAAGGTTTCATATAATTTGGAAAAGGGTTCATTTAATTTGTAAAAGGTTTCATTTAATGTGGAAATGCTATAAATCAGGACTAACTGAACTAGGCGAACTAAAATAACAAAACAAATCAAGAAGCTGGAAATCGTTCCAATCGTTCATTTCACTGAATAGCTCTTTTGAACTCGTTCGTTCTCGAACGACAAAACTCTACTATACACCAACATAATTACAAAACAAAACAATACAAAAAATAAGAAGAAACGAAAAAAGGAAGAAGTAGTAATGTAATACCGGAGAATTTTGGATGACTTCATAAAAAAACAACAATAATAATTATTTATTTTAAACAAAAAAAAATTTAACAACAAAAAAAAATCTAATAAAAATGTCTTCGTCAAAAGCCATAAATAATATGGGCATGGGTATTGTGGAACCGCAGGAACGGATGCACTATCTAATAAACTATGGCAAAGTCAATGAGATTGATCCAAAACAGCCAATCAATCGGTAAGTAATTTAACAAATTTAATCCAATTGGAGGAAAATCAAAATGACTTCCTTTGGAATAAGTGCATAGGTTTATTGTTTTGCAATGATCTGTTTGTGTGTTGTTGTTGTGGAAAATTTGGAAATTTTGCATAACAACAAACTTTTTTTGGCCGTCGATAACCTTCTATTGGCATAACTGCATTATGGAATGAGTGTAGAAGGTCCATTGAGACAAGGTCGTCGTCGCCGTCGTCGACATGTATGCGATGACCTTATTAGTGTGGTGGCAGGTTATGTGAATCCTTTTATGCGAAGGTTGAAGTCTCCTGTTGATAGTCGCCAAAATGCAAAAACAAAACGAAAACTGCACAGTCCTTGAATGCAATGCTGCTACTTCACACAGAAATATGCACATGCATGCATGGCGGTGTAGTAAGGACTAACTAACTAATGTGTATTATTAATAATGTCTTTTTTCTATGTTTTTTTCTTACAGTTACTATCGTTCGGGCACAGAAATGTTACGCATGGCTCATGGTATGAATATAAATAAATATTTTCTTGTTATTAATAACTTTTTAGTTTTGTTTATTAATATGTACCCAGTAAGCATCATAATTTGTTATTGTTTACAAACATGATTCATAGATTTGCAATCGCTACGAATGCCTTGTGAAATGTTTATCTAACTGAAAGATAAGATGGTTTTAATGCTGATCAGCAGGGGACACTAACAACAATTTTCAAAAACTGATTTTGTTTTATTCATTTTTATTACTAATAATTACTACCATTAAAGAATCGCTATCACTTTTATTTAGATCACTCCTGATCTATAAAAAAAAAACACATAAAACTGTATATAAGAAGAAAAGACATTTGAGTGGAAATTACTAAACTTCCTTATCGTAACCACAAACTGTTCCACATTCCCATTGTTGGATTTTCCATAATATTATCAGTTTTAAAACCAGTACATCAGTAGTGATTGCAGACTGAAACACTATATTTAGTTATTCCCACAACAATCGGATATACGCTTCGGAACCACCCGAGTTCGACTACCAAACGAAAGTTTTTTTTCCAAAGAGAGCAAACCATGCCCGCAGCTTTGCTAGCCATTCTTTTAATTTCGTACAGGCGTGGAACTGTTCGATTTGCGGGGAAATCATACGAAGAAACGTAACATCTGTAAGGTACAATGGTTGCAGTAATTGGTGCCATATGAAATGTACAACCCTGCGTTCACACAGGAATTGGAATTCCGGCTTAGTAGGCGATTGCGGCATCGTTTAGCTTTCAATCCGGTATTACTGCTACTAGTGTGACTACTAGTGGCAGCTTTGCTAGTTCTTGGTGATTTCAACGCTCAACTTTCAAATGAATGTCGCAGCTAAGCGCTGAATATATGCAATCCCAGGAGAATATTTCTCCTGGGAATTTATTTCTTTCCAAAGAAATAAACATGTACCTGCTGTTTCTTTCAATAACATCTGACAAAAATTCTCGAGTTATCGATGACACAGTTGGTAATTGCTGATATTTGAAAAATTCCAATTCTAAACCAGATAAATTCGCCACTAATGGGAAATCCTACCGGCCGAGATCTCTTCTTTCGCCAGGAGCCAAGGTTTTAGAGTGTCTATTGCTTCAGCATTTCGTTCTTGCTACCCACCAACAAGGTTTCAGCGAAACATATAGCAAAATTGCGAATGGCCTCAATCAGCAATGACCACCTGAACGGACAAATTACACTCTTCTGAGTGATATCAAGCGTTGGCTTACCAACTACATTAAGGTCGGCAAGACTTCGTAGAGTTCTGTGGGCAAAAATCCAAATATCTCAAGATTTTAATGAGTGTACCGTAATGCGGTGTCCTATCTCCAATTTTGTTCTATATGTATCTTGCGAAACTCTATATTCCTACATCAGATGTTTCAGTGGCGTTGTACGCCGATGTATATATGGTTATGGTGCTACTTAGCCACCATCGCCAACGCCTACGGGAGCGCAATCTAAAATTAACCACTGCAAAGACTACTGTGTCGCTCTTCTCTTCCTGGACGCGAGAAGACAATTTAGAATTTGAAATTTCCGTCCATAATCCGAAAATCCTTGTTGTGGACTTCGATAACCTCTTTCATTTCTCATCGCATTCCAAAACGTCAACTAGAAGGTTTTTTGAAAGTTTTGAAAGCTTTGGCTGGTACCTCTCGGGTGAAAAGAATAAAGAAACGTTGGTAACGAAATACAAGGCCATAGGTGGTTTCATCCTTAATTATGCTGACACAATCTGGAATTCTATATTAGCGACATACAATGGAGATCCTTGCCAACTAGTTAAAATAATGCACTCCGAATTGCAACAGGGTGTGACAGAGGCCTCGTCCTTGGTAATCCTGTTCGATTCTGGCACAACTAAGATGCGGGTATAGCAATGTTCCCAATTCATATCCAGAACGCATTTGTTGAAAACGTGTTATTGAGGGTACCGTTATATGTGACTGACAAAACATAAACCGATATATCCAATTTCAATACTAAACATCCAAGTAGCAATGCGTATACACATTTTTGAATGTTATTTCCTAAACATTGCGAGCTCTATCTCGCTTTTAATACAAAAATACATAGCTAAGAATTTTATTCTTATCAATAATATAAGGTCCAAGGGGCTAGTGTTTTAATTATCCGTTCAGATTAAGAACTCAATTTATTCCGTTCACAGGCTTTGATCCAGACTGAAATAGACTCCGATAAAAAATAACCACAAATTTTTAATTTAAATGTTGTTTCATGACTACATTTACATTTATTTATCAACTCTTGGATCTAATAATTAATTTATATTCATATTTTATATATTCATTTACAGTTTATTTAAAGGAAGGAAATCACGAGAATGCATTCATTTTATATATGAAATATTTAACGCTCTTCGTTGAGAAGATACGAACGCATCCCGATTTTCCGAGCATTAAATCAGAAATGAAAACCATTAATAAACTAATAAAAGATGATGTAATGCCAACATCGGAAAGGCTGCGACTAAAACTTCTCGATCGTTATCAACGAGAATATGAACAGTTTTTGGCCAACAAAGAGGCAGAACGTGTACGAGAATTGGAACGTGAAAAAGCACGACGGCAACGTGAATCAGCATCTAACAATTCTTCGCATGGCTCTTCTATTATACCCGCCAATCTGCATGTTCAAATTGATCCTGAAAATACACCCTCAGCACCGGATTTGGGTCTGCTCGATCAGGTGGTATATCCAAATGATTTTCCCACCGGTGGTGGACAAAAAAGTAACCTGCTATTGCCAAGTGATAATGTGGATAAGGACAGCAAAGGTGGCATGAGGTAAAACACCATATTTTCTTTTAAGGTCATACATTTTAATTAATATTATTCTATTTTAATTTTAGTATTCCCACAAAACCTACATTTGATCGTTCAACAAAACCTCAATATGAACGTTCCGATTCCCTGTTGGCCGGTTCCTTGCGTATGGTAGTCATACCACAAAATACAATGGATATTTTCTTACAGTTGGCCAAATCGAACACGGCAAAAAATATTGAAACCTGCGGTATATTGGCTGGGTCATTGGCGAAAAATCGTTTGCACATAACACACATTATCATACCCAAACAACATGGTACCCCCGATTCGTGTAATACCATGAATGAGGAGGAAATATTTGAAATTCAGGATGATCAAAATCTAATAACATTGGGTTGGATTCATGTAGGTTTTTGATAAAAGGCAGAAAAGAGAGTTATTAATTAACATTTTTTTTATTTTTTAGACCCATCCTAGCCAAACAGCATTTTTATCATCTGTGGATTTACATACTCAATTGGCGTATCAATTAATGATGCCTGAAGCTATTGCTATTGTCTGTGCGCCCAAATATCAAACGTAAGTTTAGTATTTTTATTTTTTTACTCTATTGTCGTTTCAAATAGTGTGTTGCAAAAATTGAAATATCATATAAATCATGGACAGTTGAAAATTATTAATTTTGAACAATTTTGTAAATTAACTCAATCAAATCTTTGCTAGAAATCAATTGCTTAATGCCTGAATATCATAGAGGTTGTTGTTGTTGTAGCAGCCCTATTGCTTTTACACAATGGGCTGAGGTGACAGACGTTGGCCGAGTAAGACTCGGGTCGTTTCGGATCGTAGACCCCTCTGTCGTGGAAACGACTGGCTTTCCTTTTCATTGCAACTCCGATCATCATAGAGGTATTTTCTTTTCCTTGTGTTGATCACGACCAAATCGTTATTGTCTACGAAGATAAATACAGCTGTATTAGATGGACTCTGTATAAAATTTAAAAAAAAATTTATGGGTTAATCACTGTTTGTTTGCCTGCATCTGTAGCCTTACCCATTCTGAAGGTTTATCCTCATCACGTTTAGCGATTGTCCTTAGTTTTTGCCTGCTTCTTTGTAAAACAACTATTTTTAGTTCATCATTAGGTAGTTTTCTCCAACAACGTCCGTGATAAATAAAGCCCATTCATTCGAATACGCTGCTGTTGAGAGAACGGTGCCTGCTTTCTTAGGTCTCCTTTATCGCAGGCGCCTTATTTTCACAGTGTATTGTCTTGACCACCTTTTTATAAGGTGACCTGGACAAACCGAAGGTTACGACGATCGATATAAGATCGGTTAAATATTACCACTAGTCGGAAATTAGGAACCCTTAGTTGAGTAGCAGTGTCGTTTCCCTATTATTCGATGGATTTTAGCTCTTCCTTGCCACTCTTACCAGGGATCTTCATCGACGAAACCGATGCATAAGAACCTGTTTGTAATGCTGCAAGGGATTGCGCGGAACTCATCCACAGGTTTTGTTGGTGGATTTGCTGCCGCCGCAGAAGTCGACGCTGCTGTTGAGAGAACTTTCTGCTTTGCGGATCTTTGTCTGTTGCTCTGTCACAATCCTGGTTCTGTGTTTTGACAGCACAACACCTGATGGATTTGATTTAGTGGGTTGTGTTTGTTACTCGGAGAGGGATTGTGTCACACCCACTTTTCTGGCGATCTTAATCTCGCAGACTTAGACACTCCTTGCCCTCTTCACAGTAAAAGATTGTGCCAAAAAATTTTCATTATTAAGAAACCACCTCGCAGCTCCTGGCATACTTTTTTCAGACGTGTTTGAGCCACCCAGTGTTAACTTGAGCCATCTTTAAACGCGATATCGGAATTCCTTAAATCGAGATTCGCAATACAATTCGGATAGTTCCTTGAGTAGGTCCGAATATATTTGCGATCCCTCCTAATTTGAATAAATTCTTTGACACTAATCGTACTCCAGTCCCGCTCGATGAACCGATGTTGTAGCAGCTCTACTACAACAATGGGCTGAGGTGAAAGACGTTAGCCGAATAAGACTCCTGTCATTTCGGATCATATACCCATTCGCTTGACTGACAGCATCCTGGTTTCATCATGGAGGTGATCAACGCTCGTCATCTGGACACAGCCGGTTGCAATTCGGAGTGGATTATTTTGAGTTCTTTGCAAGGATCTCCATTGTGTGTCGCTAAGGAAAGAAGTCCAGACTGGGGCAGCATACTTAAGGATGGAACGACCTATGGCCTTATGTGTCGTAACCAACGTTTCTTTATCCTTGCACCCAGGAGGTGCCAGCCAAAGCTTTCAGAACTTTATTCCTAGCTTTCACCATCTGTTTGATGTAGTTAGAATATGAGGAGAAATGAATGAGGGTATCGAAGACCACCACAAGGATTTTCGGATTATGGATGGTAGGGATTGACTTCTCGCGTCCAGGAAGTAAAACGTTACAAAGTAGATTTTGCAGTGGATAATTTTAAATTGCGCTAAATAGTTGGAAATTCTTGCACTTACGTCGTCAACATTAACGCTGGACTAAATAATCGTACAGTCATCGGTGTACGACACCACTGAAACATCTGGTGGAGGAATGGGAGTTTCGCAAGTTACATTTTGAACAAAGTGGGAGATTTGACAACGCCTTGCGGTAATCCCATTTTTATCTTGCGATATTTGGATTTTTGGCCACAGAACCCAACGAAGGCCCATTAAGGTAGTTGGCAAGCCAACGCTTGATATCACTCGGAACAGTGGAATTTGTGATGTCGGATACCAGCTCGGAATGATTGACCGTATCAAACGCCTTGGACAGATTTAAAGCTGACACAATGGTCCGTTCAGCTGGTCGTCGCTGATTGGGGCCATTCGCAATCTTTGAAGTAATATCTTGCAATGCCGTCGTTGTACTATATGATCCCCTGAAACCGTGTTGGTGGGTAACAAGAACGAAATGCTGTTTCAGAGACGGAAGCAATAGAGACTCTAAAACCTTGGCTACTTATGAATCGGGCATACCCATTTGTAGTTTGGGCTGATGAATCGTCCATTGCGTCAATTTCGCCTCGAATGGCTTCCGCCAAGATTGACGTCCTCTTTCATCAGCTTTGATGATTCACTCTGAGATGGAGGAAACACCTAAAGCACTCCTGTGTTGACCACAGCGAGGTATCCATAGAGTCAAGGGCGAATCATCCGAGAGATAGGTCGGAAAACTCTCCTTGCTGAGACTAAAATACTCGTTTTCAGGCTTGCGTTTATATCATGGAGTGTTGTTTTTGTTGTTGTAGCAGCCCCTTTGCTTTACATAATGGGGTAAGACTCGGGGTCGTTCCGGATCGTATATCCCTCTGTCGTAGAAATGTAATGGAGTCTAGTGGGGTTGGGAGGTTATTCAGGTGGCGCCAATTTCACCTCAATTGACTTTCGGCTAGATTCTCATCCTCTTCAAGGGTGATCATTCGACTTGAATTAGAGGGGAAAACTGAAGCACTGTCTGTCAAAGGTAATAATCATCCCATAGATTGGCTAAACGGTTTCTTCATCTAGATTGTGTGTAATGATCCTCTACGATCTTGGGATCAAGGGCACTCTATCATTTCTTTCGAGACTCCCCAAGGACCACTGACTGTCGCAACAGCTTATTTATTTCGCAGCTACCCCATGAATGTTATTGAACAGTCCATTATCGGCAACCTGTGAACGTGTCAAGAAACACTTAAGCATAGGCCCAAAAGCATACATTATTGAGAACTGCATGTTCTCGACAGCTACCGGAAGCAATGAAAGGTGGTCGCCTTTACATTTTCATGCTTCTTTAGGTACGTTAATTTTCTGTTTTTTCGGAAGAATGTATTTTTGTGGTAGGCTACTCTATGCTTCGATACGAACATGGCTAACTCATGGCTAACGATTTTGACTTTGACTATGTGGAAGGGGATTTGGGTTTTATTTCGATCCGACTCTGAACCTCTGCATTGACTACTTATATCAAGACCATTCCTTGCGAGTGGATAGTTGATTGATCCAGTTTTTCGGTGCTTTCATAACCTTTGTTAAGTATTTTGACCATGATGCCATCTAAGGTTTATATTTCCTGCAGGACTGTGGGTCTTTCACTAATCGCATCACTGTAAAAGCCACGTAGTGAATGTTGGTGCCTTTTCGACCAAAATTAAAAAGTGTAATTAGAAACAAAAAACTGAAGTGATTGTACTAAATTATTGAAAAAAAATTAATGTTAATAGATTTTACTTACTTGGAACCTAATAAAAACAACAAAATTTATATTTTAGCCTAGGAATTTGTTACTAAAACTATTAACTATTATATTGCCATACACGGGCGTTTAATAACTTTAAAAATGACATTCATTCATTCAAAAGAGCCATAAAACGATAATACTACGATATTACCCGGCACATATAATTAAATTTATTATTTAATTTCAGTACTGGTTTCTTTATACTTACTCCAAACTATGGTCTGAACTATATTGCTGAATGCCGGCAGTCAGGCTTTCATCCGCATCCAAATGACCCGCCTCTATTTATGGTATGAATGAAATTAAAAAATAATTCTCATAATTCCTTGATATTCATTTAAAATTGTCATTTCACTATACCCTCTTTAGGAAGCCCAACACATACAAATGGATGCCGGACAAAAAATAAAAGTTGTCGACCTACGAAGATAGTTCCAGGAATTTTATGTCTAAACAAACGGACAGACGACCGACGACGACGACTACAGAAACAAGGAGTCAGCAATATTGTACATTTCCAAAGAAAACAAAACTATGAAACGAATTTAAATTTGAATACCAAAATTAAAGCAAATTGGCAAAGCGAAGAAAAAAAATACTCTTCATTACTCGAAATGGAAATTTTCTTGTAACCCGAAAAAAATGAAAACAAAAATTATTGGCTAAAACAAAATTACATACTATTACATTTTTGGCTTGAAAAAAAGAGAAAAAACAACCAACAAATAACCAAACTACTAAATTATTATTGTGCAAACAGCATTATATACCTATATATATATATTTATATATTTTAAAACTTTAGTAAAAACAAAAGTGCTTTAATTGACAAAAAAGAAGATGAGGAAAAAAATATAATCGAACTAGAGAAAATATGGAATGAAATCAAAAAAATACACACACACAACATACACACTTATTTTACATGAAAAAAAAACAAAAGAAATAAGTGTGTTAAACTAAAACTATTGAAAATAGTTAATGAACCCAACAGCAACAAATACGTATTGATGACACTTGATATTTTTCGAGAATGTATTTATGTCTAGTTTATAAAAGATAAAAAATAATAAGTAATAACAATAACTAACAGAACAGAGTAGCCGAAAAAAAAGAAATAACATTAACTTGAACTAAAATATTTTTTGAAAAATATTGTTTTTGCCTCTCTTAGCATTTGTTCTTCAAAATACTTGGAATTTCTTGTCGCATAATAGCTTTATATTAAATTCTATTAACCATTCATTTTTGTTTATTTTTATACTAACTTTATGAGAGAATAGCTTGGCAAAATCAAAATTAACACTTAAATTTATTGTTAAGTAGTTTCCTTGAGAGCTGAAAAGAACACAAATTTAATTCTAACTTACCTTCATATACACTAGTATTATTTCAATAGGAATTTTTAAACTGTGAATTTATTGAAAGATTAGTGGCATGTTTTTGATATGTCATTTCTATATGTTATCCTTTGAAATTGTACCCTTTCAGTCCTCAAGGAATATAATATTTAAAATTGTCTACATTTATTTTTCTATAGCTGTTATAAAAAATTTTACTTTAAGCTTAGCCTTATTTTGTTATCTCATTTATAACTTGTTTTGTTTGGCATATATAGTCTATATATACAACAACAAAATGATTTGTTAAAACACTTTAATAATAAAAAATAATACTATTTATTGCTGATAATACAAACTTGTGATATTTATTGTGTAGATGAAATATGTTGGGTTCTCTTTCAAAGAATAAGAATCCTAAACGTTATTTAGAAACCGGTTAACAGTAGCTTCATATGAAAGAAATGCTAATTTTAAAATTTTTAATACCCTGTCACATTTTTAAACTCATGTGAGTGTAAATTAGTACTTCAGGGTTTAATGGGTAAAATACCTCTTGGATTATTCTCGATATAGATTCATGCTTTGACATTGCCCACCATATAAGCTTACCAAGCCGTTTAATCAATTTTTAAGCTTCTAACCACGTTTTCCAACCCAAGGTAAGTTTTCAAATATCTCGTAGTGTAAATTTGAACGTTTCGGGTTGTCCATAGATACGTGAGTATTCCATCTGCATAAACCTGTATCGTCTATGACATTCTCATCTACTATTGTTTTTTTTTCGAACGTTCCCACGCCTCAATTTCCCACCCCTGCCGACCGAGGGGGCGACCTCCCCTTTCGTAGGGATCACGTACACACCATAATCCGCATCATGGTGGAATGTGAGAAGGGAATGGAAAACCAGCTACAGAATCTACTCCAACAGCCAGTTTATTATTAAGTTGCACTACTCATTTAAAAATACAATTATATTAGATTTTATAAATTCAACATTCTTGCTAAAATCTACATTACAGTACACAGAATTAAAATCAATACAAATTTTACTGAGTGGACCTCCCATAGAATAATTTGTGCGATGAAAATCTACATGTAATAGTTGATAATATCTACTAGATCGAAAAGGAACATTTATTCTAATAGATGAAATTAGGAAATCAGAGGGTATATTACCATTTAATATTTTTAGTGCCATCATAGTGTTCAACATAATACGTCTACTTTTTAATGTAGGTAACCGAATTAATTTTAACCTGCTAGTGTAAGAAGGCAATACAAAATCACTATTCCAATGTAAACCCCTCAGTGCAAAAAGTAAGAATTGTTTCTGCACTGATTCGATTTTATCGGAATATATTGCATATTGAGGATCCCATACTACAGAACCATATTCTAATATAGGTCTAACAATAGACGTGTATAGTTGTTTTGTTATATAAGGATCCGAGAATTCTTTGGCCCATCGTTTTATAAAACTTGTTACCACATTAAATAATTGATAAGATAGATTAAAGACTTTAAGCTGCTTTTATTCGCAGGCTTTTGGTTGATTGTGCTCATCCTGAGTATCTGAGAAAGTTAAAAAAAGGAATGACGGGCTTTTGGCAATGTTAGGTTTGCTGCTTAACGTTAGACCTCGACACAGTAGATGTTTAATTGTTTCCAGCTCTTTCTGATCCCAACATAAAGGGCTCCATAGATGTTGAATGAATGATGAATTTTTACCACAGGTAGGTCTCGTCTCCCTGATCACGAAAATATATGACTTTCATGGGGAAGTCCATACTTTCCGAGATATGGACCTCTAAAGTTTTCAACTTAAATCCAATTGGATTTGGGTGGTCTAATCCCGTGGTGACTTGCTATGATCCCTACACTCACTTTGATCTTTTTTCCGGGGTGCTAGTTCTACGCCGTGAAATCTCAGGACAGATGGATTTTGATGTCCTGCTTCCAAGCTACTAAAACTGCCGGCTTTCTTCCTGTATATTGTAACGACAGGTTTACCCTTAGGCTGAAGTAAGCTCCCCTGGGCCACGGTTCGCGCCAGAAAATTTGTTTGTGTGCGAGAGAGAAAGGCGAGTGTTTTTAAGTTCTATAATGTTTATTCCGTACAAAATTGATGTATACACAAAGGAAACTTAGATATTAATTAATACTATTGGTTTTACGTCTGTCCGAGGTTGGATGGGTAACTTTAGCCGTCGTTCGAAGTGGAGACCTGAATAAGTGCTCCTTTTGGGGAATGTACTGGGAGACCAGGGTAAGTACTCTCACAACAGGATACTCTCACTAGGATTCGGATTTTCCAATTACGTAGTGCTATTGGGGAATATATACCACGGGATACGCACGGATTCTACTGCAAGAGACCTTACTAAGTACTCAAGCAAGGATTCCACAAAACATGGATACAGAAGTATTTCTTTGGGAATAGGGACCTGGATAAGTAACCTAGGACGGCTATCAGAATTATTGAATGTGTCCCTCTCCTGGAATGGATGTGTCTTCTGTCGAGGTCTGGCACTGACTGTCCCTTTTCAGTCGTGGGATAACGGGAACTTGTTTTGATCAACTTGTCACAACAACATTGGCTGTGATCAACACAACCAGTGGCTGTGATGAGTTGGTGCGAGAGAATAACTGTAACCCCTGGTATTTTGTTGTTTGCTTTTGGCTGAGACAAAGGAGAGTGGTGGGTTTTATAATATTCTTTATTTATTCTTTAAGAAGTAGAAAAAAATACATGGTGTGGGCAAAATTGAGTGCAACGATTTTTGGTCGTCACAATATCTTACAGATTTCGTCATTGTTATACCCAAAAGGTAGTCTTACAGATCCCCAAATCTGCAGATCGACCGATCAAGCTTTTTCATTCCAATTTATTTAATTATGTCCTGGAGCTAAAAAAATTAATGACTCGTTGTAAGTCGTGCAGAACAACTTTACAGTTATGAACCTCTTGGGAATTCATAATACCCGTCTTGATTGGCTTAAGAGCCGTCTGGGTATCAATTAATATATTTACATCAAGTTTTTTACTATTTCAGCCGATTTCATGATTGCTAAGATTTGTGCCTTAAAATACTACAAAGTTCGTAAAATACCTGCACCAATTCCTTCTTCCATTGTGGAGTTACCATCTATAATGACAGATCAGGCCAGAAATATACCAGCTTACTGTGTGGAGGAACTGGAACTAATGTTAAAAGCCTAGTGGTTGGAGATTTTGGATTATCTACAAGACAGCTTGATACATACTTCTGAGAGTCCCAGTTATAAGGATCGATGGTCAAGAGTGTTCATTTGTCCAGCCCCTGCCCATAAGTTAAATTAGGCCAGTGTGTGATTTACTGTTTTAATCCCCAACTTCTCCCTATGGGGTTCTATCACGAGTAAAGTGCTATGAGACCTCTTCAAGTGCATCCCACCACATTCATTTTTTCAGGTTTTTGGCTTCTAATGAGACTTCCAAAGTCACTCCATTCAAGTTAGGTAGGATTTTAGATTACCATATCAATTTTTCTTCGTGTTGTTGACCCCAAGACCATTTCTTAAACCTAATTTGACAAAATTACCAAAGCATATTGTATCTACAATCTACATAATCCGGATCAGGTAATCTTTTTTGTGTTCCTCTTAATATGTCCGACCACCTCATGAAAGGCAGTATCAACTTATAAGCCTTTGATGTAGGAATGCTACAATCCAAATCAAATATTTTTTTTTTATTTCAAGGTCTAAGTACCTTTCTAGTGTTTTAGTAGAAAAGAAGATCAGCTAATCGCTCTAAGGTAATACTTGATTTTTCGGCAAAGGGTTGGTATTAATAATATGAGCAGACACGCCCATGCGGCCGAATGTTGCGCCATAGCTCGTATTATATGGTCCTGGTGAATGCAGTTTATTGTCCATACCAATTTCGTGTACTTAATCAGTCCTTTTGTCAACTTTTGATCTTCTTCGATTCGGAGTCTGTGATGATTGTTATGGAATTTCACATCGTAGGTGACTACACAGGATGTCATATTTCAGGAAGATATCATCCGTTACATTGTCGTTTCTTTCTCAACATCCTCAGACCAATGGGTGTCAATGCCGTTTGGCAC